AGTCTGTTGTTTGCTGCTTCGTTGTTTGTTTGATAGAAAAAGAAGAGCTCCCCTCCCCCCCCTTGTCTTTGTCTTCATATATATTTCTGTCTCCTTCTCTTTCTCTCTCTCTATCGTTTTCTCTTTCTGTCTCTCTTTCTCTCTCTCTCCCTTTCTCTCTCTCTCTGTCTCTGTCTCTGTTTTTTTTTTTTTAATTTTATCTATATATCTGTGTATTTCTTCTGTCTCCTTTTCTATCTTTCTTCTTCTCTCCCCTTTACAAGTGATGCTCCTTTTGCTGCTGCTGCTGCTGCAGCAGCAACAGCAGCAGCAGCAGCAGCAGCAGGAACAGCAGCACCACCACCACCGCCCTCCTCACCAGCAGCAGCATCAGCTTCAGTACTATCATCATCACCACCAGCAGCAGCAGCAGCAGCAGCAGCAGCAGCAGTATCAGATGCTGCTGCTGCTGTTGCTGCTGTTTCTGCTGCTCCTAATCCTTGCAGCTGCAGCAGCAGCCTATCGAGCAGCAACATCTGTATATCTGTGTTTTGTTTGTTGCTGTTTTTATTTTTTTGTTTTTCTTTTTCTGTTTTTATTTCACTCCACTTCTTTATAAACTCATTCTTCAGGCTTTCTCCCTCGCTGCTGCTGCTGTTGCTGCTGCTGCTGCTGCTGCTGCTGCGCTGTAGAACGTCCAAGAGGAACAACAGATTGCTGCTGGGGGACGAAGCAGACAGCAGCAACTCTGCTTCTTCTGCTGCTGCTGCGGTTGCTGCTGCTGCTGCTGCTGCAGTCTGCTGCTGCTCTGCTTCCTCCCCTCTATCCTCAGCAGCAGCAACAGCAGCAACAGCAGCAGCAGCAGCAGCAGCAATTGTATTTATTTCATCAGGCTCTGTTCTCTGCTGCTGCTGTTGCTGTTGCTGTTGCTGCTGCTGTGTATTTATATTATCTTCTATTTGTTTATTTCTCTTATCTATCTGTCTCTCTTCTCCTTCCTGGTGTATCTGCACCTGCTGCTGCTGCTGCTGCTGTTGCTGCTGCTGCTGCTGCTGCTGCTGCTGTAGTTTATTGTTTATAATATTATATTTGATTTGTTTTGGGTTTAATAAACTGCATGCATATTTATAAGCTGCATATACACCTGAATTTGTATAGAAACGAGAAGAAGAAGAAAAAGGAAAAAATAAAAAATAAATAAAAAGAAAAAAAACAATAAATATATTTTTTGTTGGTTTAATATTTTTATAAATAAATATATCTTTCAATAAAATTTTTATTTTATTTATTATTTTTTTATTTTTATTTTTATTTTTATTTTTATTATAAATATAGTCTACACATAATATATTACTACTAGCAGCAGCTTCACTTTCTCTTGCTTTTGCTGTTTTTGTTTTTGTTTCTGTTTCTCCTATTCCTCCTGCTGCTGCTGCTGCTGCTGCTGCTGCTGCTGCTGTTCTACTGATGGTGGTGGTGGTGGTGGCGGTGGTGCTGCTGCTGCTTCTGCTGCTGGTGCTGCTTCTGCTGCTGCTGCTGCTGCTGCTGCTTCTGCTGCTGCTGCTGCTGCTGCGACGACGACGAGGATAGTGATGATGGATGCTGCTGTTCCTGCTGCTGCTTCTGCTGCTGCTGCTCCTGCTGCTGTTGCTGCTGCTGTTGCTGCTGCTGATGTTGCTGCTGCTGCGGGTAGGTACCATGGCCAGAGAACTGCTGCTGCTGCTGATGCTGCTGCTGCTGCTGATGCTGCGAAGGGGAGTGCTGCTGCTACCATTGCTGCTGCTGCTGCCACTGCTGCTTCTGCTGCTGCTGCTGCTGCTGTTGCTGCTGCTGTGAAGGGCAATGGAGGTGCTGCATTCATTGCTGCTGTCTGTTGCTGCTTCAGTTTGTTCTTTCTCTTCTTCTTCTTGCTGCTGTTGCTGCTGTTGCTGCTGCTGTTGCTGCTGCTGTCGCTGCTGCTGCTGCTGCTGCTGCTGTAGAGTTTGAAGGCAGCGCGATACAGACAGCAGCAGATCCGCCTCTCTCTCCTGCTGCTGCTGCTGCTGCTGCTGCTGCTGGTACTGCTGCTGCTGCTGCAGCAACAGCAACAGAGATAGAGGTTTTGTTTCTTCTTCTTCTGCGTTGTTTTCTCTCTCTGCTGCTCCTTCGCTGTCCTCCATCATATCCATAGCTCGACTGTATGCAGCCTCTTCTGCTGCTGCTGCTGCTGCTGCTGCTGCTGCTGCTGCTTCTGCTGCTGGTGTTGTTGCTGCATCTGCATCTGCTGCTGCTGCTGCTGCTGCTGTGCCCAGAGTCAGCCTCGCTGCAGCAGCACTTTCTTCACTGTCTTCCGCTTCTCCTTCCCCTAGCTTCTCCCCTCTCCTCTGCTGCTGCTGCTGCTGCTGCTGCTGTCGCTGTTGCTGCTGCTGCTGCTGCTGCTGCTGCCTAGTACGAACCACAATTCTGTCTGCTGTTTGCTGCTCCCGCTTTATCTGCTGCTGCATGCGGCCCTTCATTTGATTCAACAAATCCAGCGCAGCATCCCCTACCTCGCTGCTGCTGCTGCTGCTGCTGCTGCTGCTGCTGCTGCTGCTGTTGCTGTAGTAGTTTACTGTGTCGTTTATATGCTGCTGCTGCTGCTGCAGCTGCTGCTGCTGCTCGCTAGGCCAGATGCTGAGGGTCTCCTTTATTGTCTCCGCTGTCTCCTCTGTGCTGCTGCTCCCCCCCTTAACTTGCCAGCAGCAGCAGCTGCCGCTGCTGCTGCTGCGCTCGCTGCTGCCTCTGCTGCTGCTGCTGCTGCTGCTGCTGCTGCTGCTGCTGCTGCTGCAGCTAGAAGGGGTAGTGCTGCTGCTCATGCTGCAGCAGCAGCTGCAGTTGCTGCTGCTACAGTTGGTGGTTCTGCTACTGATGCTGCAGCAGCAGCTGCAGCCACTGCTGCTGCTGCCGCTGCTGCTGCTGCTGCTGCTGCTGCTGCTATCCCCACCCAGGATAAGCCCCCTCTCCCATGGTGTGAGGTCTTTAGCTGCGAAAGCCAAGAAACGAGAGAGGAGACAGCTGGTGCAGTGCTGCTGCTGCTGCTGCTCCTGCTGCTGTTGCTGCTGCTGCTGCTGCTGCTGCTGCTGCTGTCGCTGCTGCTGCTGCTGCTGCTGCATGCTCTCTGTTTCCTGTCTCCTTTCTCTACGGTCGATTACGAGAGAAGAAGAAGACAAAGACAAACCATCATCATCATCATCAGCAGCAGCAGCAGCAGCACCACCACCACCACCACCACCCGCTGCAGCAGCAGCAGCAGCAGCAGCAGCAGCAGCAGCAGAACCCTCTGCTGCTGCAGCAGCAAAGACAAAAGGAGAAGCCGATATGCTTCTTGTCGGAGACA